TCTCTCTCATACACCCAACTCATATATATAACTCTCTCTCTCGTAGATTTTTTAAACACACTCTCTCCCGTCTCTCATACTCTCTCTTTGCATATATATATTTATATATCATAGACATTTTAAACACACACTCTCCTATCTCTCATACTTTCTCTCTCTCTCTCTTTATTTATAGTCTAATTAAGACCGTCAAGACAAACAATGCTATCTCATACTCTCTCTCTTAGCATTATTTGTCTTGACGATCCTAATTGGACTTAATTACTTAAAATATTTGTATGATTTTATAGACGAGAAAATATTTAAGTTAAAAAAAATTTCTCAGTTATAGACATTCAAAGTCAAGTTAATCACCAATAAGAAATAACAAGTGATACCAATTGCATCAAAAAAAAATTTAAGCCAAGTTAATTACCAATAAAAAATCATACAAAAAAAACAATACTCAAAACCAACTATCAATTTTTTTTCTTTATTTGCATTGTTTTTCCCTTACTAATGTTCATATCTTTTTGAATAGTTGCATACTAAAAAATAGACGCCGAAATGACAAAAAGGTCAATTAAATCATTTATTTTTTAAAGTGGTGAAATTTTATTTTTTTTTTAATTTGGATTAATTGCAGCATGGGAATATTTCTGTAGTATCCGAGAAATCACAACAGTAGAGAATTTAAATCAATTATCCTTGCAGTTACAAATAGATCTGTTAGACAATGTTAGTTCAGTTGAGTTTTTTTTTATTTTTTAAAAATTGATTTATAGTTCAATGTGAACTAAACAACCTATTCATTAGGTTTAGCCAGAGGCTGAAAAAATGGACACTCATTGGAAATAAGAGTCACCATGAAAATATGTATGGCAGGATAATTTTGTAACGGTGTTAATTTAACTTCGTGGGGATTCTCGGATTGTGCTAATGTGATATAATTTTTCTTTATTTCAACCCTTACACCTCTTTTATTTAATACATTATTGGATACCCCATTTGTTTGGCGATTTTTTTTTTTTAAAAGTGTCTTTAGGCACAGGTAATAACTAGTATATCAATATAGATAGATATGAGAGAGAGAAAAATTAATGTTAGTCAAACTCTTAAAACTTGATAGTTTTTAATTTTTAGTTTTACTTCACTTCTAATAGAAAAGGATAATCTGGTAAAATTGATAAAAAACGGACTTTATAACAAATAAATTTTCTTGCGGAATTAAGTCAAAATAAGTCCATACAGGGGAACCGCCCTTCAAATTTCCCTTTTATTTATTGTGAGGTGCAATTGCTTTGGATTGGGCTCTCATCCAATTTCTATAGAATAGGAGACTCCTTCAATTGACTTTGTGTTGTCAGGATCTATACCATAAGTAGATTTAATTTATTCACGAAGTTTCTTAAATTTTGAAAATTCAAAATCTATTAAATACGATGGTAAGTACATATCTTAACTATTCAACAATGAATTGGAAGATCCTCAAATTCTTGAGAGGGAGCCAAACCCACATTGGGTTTGAATTTGAGATATAAGATTTGATTTTGATTTTGAATTTGGGCAATATACTATTCCTCAACTTTATATCACTACGACAGCAACATGGGAGTTGACTTAAAAAAATTAATCTACTATAGTTAATTGCATATGTCATGTGCATCTAATATATTTTAGCAATTTAGCAGGCCTTAAATTCAACTCCAAACCTCGATCCCTATTTTTCCTTTTTTTTTAAATTAATGTAGCCTCATGTTATTTGGTTATTTCGTTCATGACATTGAAAATAAAATATACAATCACACCCCATCCTAAGAAATCTCCTTGGTTTTCCAAAAATGGAAGCATAACTCAACAAGTAACAATAACTACGTCAAAATGCAATAATATCACCTAATGCCACAACAAAAAAGAAAAATTATATAACAGAGTGCAAAATGGTGTCACTTATACCCCAAAAAAAAAAAAAAGATTAGGGATTCCATCCCTTTACAACAACAGGGAAAAACAAACTCTCCTGTACAATATGTACATAATCAGTTTCTTTAATTTTTTCTCCATCTCTATCATGCTAATGCAATAGTGGACCTTACTATAGAACATAGCATTCTGAAACCAATAATTTTTTTGAGTATACTGAACATTATAATCAAAGAAAATCTAACAAAATATATGGATCATGTTGTCCGAAATTGATATTAACAATTTACGTGTAAATATACATGATCAACAAGTAATAAAATGATAAGGGCAAACCTCAGGGACATATTAGCGAGCCACTCTAGTGCTCGTCTTCTGTGGCCAAATTCCTCTCTAATCAAATCCTTCAAGCTTTGGATGAAACTTAAGACCTACTGAGAGACTTCATGTGACAAGGCTTTAATTGAGGCCTCCAGCTCTAAGTCAGATTCATGATTCTCTTACCCTCAGGGTGTCAGCAATGCTTTCAGCATGTTAGGGATGTCATGCCTACTTTATTCCATCACTTTGTGCACCAGAAGCATTTCAGATAAGCTAATTCTAGCCTTCCCTTGAGCGTTCACCATGTTGTCTCTTTGATGGTCCCATTGGGTGTGCCAAAAAAAAATGTTTGGTTTATTTTTGGATTGCAAGTGTGCCAAAGTCCAAGTGGACTTAAAATTCAAACACAAATGATTTTACCTACTTGAACTGATGTGGAGTTATAAAATCGTGAATGTTCAGACGAATGTAGCAAGACATAAGGTTACCTCTAGATTATTTTCTATGCCTTGGAGCTTTAAAGACTTTAAATAATTTCACCAACGAGAGACGTATGAATGACACTATAAAAGAATCTAAAGTAACAGATAAATTAAATTTGAATCTGAAAGACAAAATGAATATTGAACTTAGCATTAAACAAATGTAGTAAAAGATCAATGGAGTGATGTATTACTGGAAAAGCAAAACTTGGTTGGAAGTAAAAAATAAGTAAAAATGATAGGCTAGTTTTGTGAAGAGTTTTTGTGATTGATTGTGAGATCATTTCTTAGTGGTTTGGCCTTTCAATTTATAGAGATGACTCTCAATTGCCGATTTATCTTTTCCGACAATTACTTGTGGTCATGATGCTGTCTCTTGAGATACGTGAATGTGTGCTGAACCGTTTTCAACTAGCAACTCATGATGTCACGTTTTCTTGTTTCTCGAAATTTTAAGAGTCATACTTTTCTAACTGTTCTATCAATCATGAACTCCCATAAACTCCTTTCTAATTGTCGGATCCCTTCCATGTATCAATCCTTGATTTCGCTATTTTTGGTTATAAACAGTGTTCCACATGGCCGACATTCAAAATATTGCATCATGGTGGAATTATTTATTTTGTACTTGCTTGTTCTTATAACAGATTAAGTATTCGAAATAATATGAAATGATACTATACTGTGCAAGCAATCAAAAGTGAATCAGGTAATAATTTTTTGCCAAAATGAACAATTTAGCACATTAAGAACTATTACAAAATTATTACCTTTTTTGACAACAATAACTTAGTTGCCGATGTGAACTCCCCACAGTAAACTAAGAAACTTGCAGCTTGTGAGTTCTTCCTAAACATAACAAATAAAAAAATATTATAGGGGCATTAAAATACTCACTTTTTAATAAATTTTATTAGCGTAGAAATTTATCTTAGCAATGTGAACACAAAGACTGTGTGTATGATATTTCAACCTAAACATAGTTGGAGGCAATAGAAAAACGGAAAAAAAGTATGAATTTGATAACTAACCCTAGATACATATCTCCGAGGAGCTGGAATACGAATAACAATGACACGACATAAAAAATATAATAAGTAATTCACACGAACATGATACGTTTGACAGCTCTAATTAGAATACTTAATTTAAAAAAATTCAAAATTATGATAAAAAAAAAAACAAATAAAAAAAAGAGGGGGAGGGAAACCACAGACGAAAATTGTATGTTTTGTAGTACAAGATAGATATATTTATTTGTCAGAGTGGCTGCTAATTACAAGTAATCAACTCAGAAATCTTCCTGGTAATTTTTATCCGTTCATAGAATGTTGGCAGCTCAATGGTACTTTAGTCATTTCACTCNAAACCTTACCTACATTTCGATATTTATTGTGAAGACAAATGATTGTTTCTCCTTTGATCTCTATTGGACACACAAAATGATATTTATATTACTTCATAGTTTATATATTTACATAAGTTTTAGGTATGTGTACACATATGCATGTGTATAAATTTAAATTGAGCGTATCTTACGATATATGATACGTTATGATACACAATACATTATTTTTGAAAATTGATATGTGTTCCATTATATGTTTTGACAACCATGCTTGCTATCACATTTTCTACAGCATCTGTTNATATCTTACGATATATGATACGTTATGATACACAATACATTATTTTTGAAAATTGATATGCGTTCCATTATATGTTTTGACAACCATGCTTGCTATCACATTTTCTACAGCATCTGTTTTGATAGAAAAGTCACCCATTCTCTTTTCCTACCTCATTGATTCATTTGAGAGCAAACATATAGCAGTTGATTCTCTTTTGAATTTTTGTGATCTGTATTATGATTTTTTTGCCTTTATGTGCCAAGAACGGAGAAATAGTCCATTAATCTTCGATGCTTACTTAAATAAATTTGAGGGAGTCAATTTTTGACACTCTTCGCACGGAAGAGACCTTTTGACATAAAAAATATGATATTATTTCTAAATCCTATTATTTCATTTTATTTTGGTTGGGGTCATATTTTCCATTAAACCACAAACTATCAGATTGTTCTTTACTTTTCCAGTGAATGTTAATTTTGTTCTACCCCCATGGGTGACATTATTGTCAATAGTATCAGATCACTCATCCTTACTAGTGTAGGCATAGAGGCCTTGTTTTAACTCAACTATCTTAACATTGCATTTATACTGTCTTTACATTGTATTTCAGCTATCTTAAAGTGTATTTTCTTCAGGGAGTAATTGAAGGGAATTTGTAACGAAGCAAATGAAACTACCATAAATCGAAAACAAATGGATTGCGAGGACCAGGGTTTGATTGTCCAGGCTTGGTCGAAGGAGGGTAAGAGAGCTGATAAGAGTTTTGATAAGTTGACTGAAGGTCTGGAAGGGATTTGGAGCTTCTGGAAGAGGATTTTGATAAGTGATTGGAGGCTAGGTCAGGGCTTTACAATTTCAATTTGGGTTGGAAGAGGTTGATGAGGGATTATTTAACATTAATGAAGTTCGAGCTAAGCTAGATGGCTCGATTAAGTCTGCGGAGCAAGAAAGCAAGTCCCTAGTTCATTTGTATTTTATATTTTCATTAGTGTTTTCTGGTGAGCAATCTTGGCATGCTGATTGAGTGTTGAGTTGCTGGGTTTTTATCCCAGTTAGCATAAGTGAAGAGCATAGCTGCAATGATTATTGTTTTTGACCATATAATGAGTTAATATCGGCTGCCTCTTTGAAATGAGAAATATTTGAACATTTTTGGCATTTGTGATGGTTGTTTATACTACTCTTTTTCTTTTTACAATTTTTCACCTTTTCCTCCAATAATTTGGACCTTCCTGAATAATCTCTATTTGATTGGCTTTCTGTGTCATTTAGGACAAGTTAGATATCAAAAGGACATTGGAGGATGAAGCTAGAAAGTGCCAATGGCTTGTATTGTGGCTTGATTGTGACAGAGAGGGTGAAAACATTGCGCTTGAAGTGGTGGAAGTTTGCACAGAAGCAAATCTTCAGCTTAATGTGTGGAGGGCTCGTTTCTCTGCATTAATTGACAGGTTCTGATGGCTGGCATTCTGTTCCTGATTTAGCTCTCATAATCTTCTGTTCGATTTATAATATTTGATTTTGGGATGGTCAGGGAAATTCATGCATCTGTGCAAAGTCTTGTTCGGCCCAATCAATTGTTTGCTGATGCAGTAGATGTTAGGCAAGTGAGTATCAATGGAAAACTCGGTTGTGAGTTCGGAGTGTATCATTCATTTCATGCTTGCAATAAAGTTGGTTGAACATTAACCGCATATCTTCTGAAGTGAATATTGGGGGTTTCATTTTCTTTTATCATCTGCTCAGTCTTTAAGAAATCCAGTTCATATAAATATATATTGCTTAGCATTCTGATCCGTTAGAGGTTCTTTACTTATGGTTGATAGCTTCTACCACTCATTTCCCCTGCTTTTTCCATCTTGTCTCTTTTTCTTGGTTTGGAATACAAATTGTTTCAGCCTTCTGCAGGAAATAGATCTTCGGATTGGTGCTTCTTTCACTAGGTTTCAGACGATTCTGTTGAGAGATGCATTTGTTCTTGATGTTGCTACGGATGACAGAAATCTTGTTTTAAGTTATGGTCCTTGCCAGGTACCAAGTAGATTAGAAGCATCATGCTTACATATCTAGATGACCAATACATGTTGTGGCTTTCATGTGCAATTTCGTATTCTACAATAGGAAGTTTACTGTTTCACATTAGCTATACTGTTGCATCATTGTTTCCTGCAGTTCCCTACGCTTGGCTTTGTTGTGGAACGGTACTGGGAGATACAATCTCATGAACCTGAAGAGTTCTGGACACTCAATTTTACTCACAACTCGCAAGAAGGGACTGCTATCTTCAATTGGATGTAATTGCTATGGACTGGCACTACACAATTTTATTCTCAGATATTGTAGTTGTTGTTTCAAACTCGTTGACTTAGAAACTTCGCAGGCGTGGGCATTTGTTTGATTACACATGTGCAGTAATAATCTATGAAATGTGTGTTCAGGATCCTCTTGCAACTGTGAGTTTTACAGAAGTCATATCATTCTAAATAATGCTGGTGTCTAAGAACTGCTCTTATAAAAACTGACTCTGATTTGGCATAACTTCATTTCCTATTCAGGTTTCGAAGGTTAGACAGCAGGAGAAGCTGAAATATCCACCCCATCCTTTAAGTACTATTGAGCTTGAGAAACGAGCATCCCGTTATTTCCGAATAAGTTCTGAACACACTATGAAGGTCAGCTGCCAAGAGTCAACAATACTTCATTAAATCTGTGCCTGAGTTTCAATCACTCTAGATTACTTTAGTGGCAAACTTTAGTCTAATAAGTTCCCTGGTTTTCCTGAAATGGCCACAATTATTTTACTTTACATTGCATATGGTTTTTTATTTTGATTCTTGCAGACTTTTTGACTGTCTTGAGCACTTGTGTTGGTCAAACATGCTCTTTCGGTATAATGCAATTAGCCTGCGATATTACTAACGCAGTCATATTGGACTGTTGCAAATAAATGATCTATCTCAGCTGGCTCTTCTTACTTGTCTTTTGGTGCTAGTATTCCACATGACTGAGGATACATGGGTCAGCGATGAGCATGTGATATGAAACATTATTTAGATAAATGTCTCGTTACATGTGTGCATATCCTGTGCGAGAACTGTGCATCTATCTATTTATTTTGGCTTTATATTTCTTGGCCATTGCATTTTGAAATTTCGCAAGTGGATTCCTACAATGCCCTGGAAAAAGTATTTTGCAAGGTTCTATTATATTTTCCCCATTGGTATATAAGGCCAATTACTGCCTATAATCCTCATTGAAGCAGTTTAGTTGGTGATGTAAGAAATACTGATTGCTTGAAATTCATCTTTTTTGTGCATTTCTCCAATAGGTAGCAGAAGATCTTTACCAAGCTGGTTTCGTCAGTTATCCTCGTACAGAGACTGACTGCTTTTCAGAGAGCGCTGATTTGCATGTGGGTAACCCTTTAGCTCTGTTGACAATGTGTATAATGTGTTTTGCCAAGGGAGGAGTCATTAACGGACTTTGTGATAATCAGCAGGAAATATTTTTATTAATATAGTAAGAGGTTTACATGATGGACAAGAATTCCATCAATATGAAGCAACATAAAATTAAATGCAACAAACTCAAAAGTAAAAATTACAAATCACACAGAGACTTCCAATCTGCCCTAATCAAAAATAAAGAAATCCCAAAAAGTGATGGCACACGGATACCCAAAAGGAATACAAAAAGCAAATTCTCTCCCCAATACCATGCAAGTCCTCACTTTTATATTAAAAAATTCTTGCATTTCTTTCTAACCAAATGGTCCAAAATATAACTATCACCACACATCTCCAAAGAGAATTGGCTTTCTTACTCCTTTGAAAACCCCAAAACTCATTTTCAAACATCTCCCTACAAGAACCCGGAGCAATCCAATTCTCTTTCACTATTCCAAACAACCTACTCAATAACGCATAGGCAAATGAACAATGAAGAAAGAGATGATCAATACTCTGGTGTGAAATTAGTTATTTTTAGTGAGATTTATTTAATTTAGCTTTCAAATCAGAAAATCATCATGATAGTAAAATTAAAGAGGGAAAGTCCAGAGACATACTTAGATTTGAGACTAAGCAGAAATTGAGGAAACAAAGTGAAAATAGACTGAAGGAGAATATTTCCTTATCATGTTTACTTCTCTTACTTAATCTATTGGTCTCCCTTCCTTGTGTTGACCCTATGCCTAGGTAAGCAAGGTTTTGATGATAACAAACAATCTTGTATTATTAATGATCTTCATGTGAGTTTGGTTGGAAGGTGTTGCATAGGGTTGATGTGGGAGATTGAATGTGTAATATTTTACATCGAATACAAAGAGTCAAAGGAGAAGATGTGCATGAATTAAATGCTAAATTTGATGATCGAAGAGGCTAAGAAATGAAGACTATGAACATTGTTAATCGGTTGTTTGAAGATGAGAAGAATTGAAGGGAATGAACATGAGGAGCTTATGCAATACCCTCATTAGTTTGATCATTATAAGTGATGAATGTGAAAAGGTTAATGGTTTCCCTTATATGATAATTGTTCAAGTTAGAAGATAATCATGTTGCTTGCGAAGAAGAGTTGAAGGATAAGGACAAAGGAGTTGAAGAAACATGCCAAAGAGAAAGAATGCTTATATCAATCAATTTGATATAGTCTCACTATTTTTGTCATAACGTTGTACTCAGATGTCTAATTGACTTGATTCTTGTGGGGCTGAAAAGACAACTTCAAGGGTTACAAGTTTGTCTGAAATAAGAATTGTTAGATTGGAACGTTTTCAAGGTATGGAAGTTGAAGGTAGTCTGCAGATGTTAAAAAATCAGGATAATCAGACATCAGCTTGGTTATTTGGACATAACTTTTTTACTTCGATATTTGATTGACCTGTTCAAAAGGATTTGAAACATAGAATTCAAGGGCTACAACTTTGTTTGCAATAGGTTTTGTTAGATTCGAACGTTTTGGGGATGAAAAACAGACTGGAAGATAAGGTAAGTAAACATAAGGTTTTATTAGACTTCTAGTAGAGAGATTTTGAATTCCAGAGGAGGATTCCGAACTTGTGCTGAGCCAAATTGGAATTCTGGTAAAGGAAAAGGCTGGTTTTGCTAATTTGGACAAAATGTTTTGGCAGAAGTCTAGACCTTGGCATCGGAATTCCAAACATGATTGTTGGAGCTAATAACGGATAGTTTTTAGCCTATGTCTTTTGTGCATTTGCCTCTACTATAAAAGGACACCATGAGGTTTGAAGAAAGAGGACTTTTTAAGAGAGATTTTGGAGACTCCTTGGGCATTCAAAGTGTGATATATATATTTAAGAAAGATCATCATTGTGAGATTTTGGCTACAAGGCCTATTATGATTTTATCTTATTGAATTTATTTGAGTGATTCTTTGTTGTAAAGAGAGAAGGAAAATCTTTTATTGGTTGAGTTTGAGATTGTGAGGTGTTTTACCTATTGAAGAAGACGAACGTTGTAAGGAGTTTAATCTTCACGTGTTGAAAAAGATCGAGATTGTGAAAGAGAAGCTTTGAGGAGAAGGCAGAGTAGAGGACGTAGGCCTCCTGATCTGTTATCTTCTCCCTATCTGCTCCAGAGCATATCTGACTGCTACATGCTGGGTTTTTGGTTTCCTGGTTGAAATCTGTTGCTTTGCGGAGTTGTGAATTTTTTTGGTGGTTTTGGTGACTGAGCAGCCCGATCTGTGCATTATTGATGAGCCTTTGTATGATTTTTTGGTTTATTTTGTCCACTGCTACTATTTGGCTGGTGTTTTGCTGTTGTCCTGCTACCTTGCTGTTGGTTTTCTTCAGAATTTTGTTGTTTTGCTTCTCCAATCTTCAAGGCTGTGTAGTGGGCATCTATTTGGCATTGTTCCTGTTTAGATTTGGTTTGTTTTGTTGAATTTTGCATGTCTATGCGATTGAAGGTATGTTTGGCAGAATGTGTTCATATGAGATCTTTGGTATACCACATCAGATTAAAAGGTGTGATTTAGTATTGTTGGTACTTGATTGACAGTCCCTTAGTGCCTCTTTTAGTCATTTGTTCACTTCGGACATTCCTCGTACCTCTTAGGTCTTCGACTCAGGTGTTACACATCACATGACCAATGGCTTTTTTTTATTTGCATCTACATTCTTTCCTCCAGCTGGATTCGTACTTGTAGCCAATGGTAATTAAATGTCATCGTCTGGCATTGGGACCATTATTTCTCCCCATTACGCTCCCAGCTGTCTATTATATTTTTGAACTTACTTTGAAGTTGATTTCAGTTAGTTAGTTGATTCTAGATTTTCAGTTTACTTTTCTTCTTCTGGTGGTGTTGTGCAGGATCTATGTTTTAAGATGCTGGTTGGGACAGGCAGTAGAGAGGGAGGGTTGTATGTGTTGGCCAAGTTACATGTTCTATATATAACAGCTTCTAGTAAGGGGCGGGGTCAGAAATTAGGTTAAAGGTGGGCACTTTAACTAGGCCGACTCTATAACATTAAGCAATTAATTATAACCATCGACTTCCACAAATATGACTCTAATTAAAATCCAAACTCTCCATAAAAAGAAGTTGACAAACCAAATAGATCTAAAAAAGAAGTGGAATTTTTCTTTAAACCAAACACTCAAAATAATTGCTCTTAATATACGTCAAGCACAGAAGTGAGAAAACAACCAACAACCGTACCAAAGGACACCAGAAATCACTATTCACGTACGCCCTATACAGTAAAAATTACCATAGACTTACAAAATCAACCAGAATAGAGGGGCTACATCATGAGTTAAATTCATGATTGGAGGTTATTAGGGTCTGTTTCTGCTTCTACTTGTTTTTTTTATTATAAACCGATTCTGATAGGGGTTTGGATCCATATTAGATGTTGGGTCATGGTCCCGAGTCTAGTATTTGGTATATGGGATGTGTGTTCAATTTGCAAGATGAAAACAAAGCAGTTGTATCTATGTCAAAGCTAACAATCACAAGAAACAAATCATAACTCCAAAGGTGCACAAGAATATCGGTGTAAAATGTTAGGATATTTTAATTAGGGGCATAATTGTAATCTACAACCTATTATGAGTTAATATAAATATAGGTGATGAGAGGAAAGTTAGGTTAACTCTTATTCATCAAAAACCCTAATTTCTCTAATTTTTGTTATCTCATTCTTCTCTCTTGCCCTCTACTCTATTCTAAACCTTAAAACAAAACTTTTAACTTGGTATCAGAGGGATCTATAAGATATTTGAAGTTACCAAGACACTCAAGAAGGACTTAGACACTTGCTGGAGTGGTTGACATCATCGCCAGAAAATGACATCATCGTCGAAGCTGCTAAAAATTGATATGACAATGGTAGTGCTCGTGGTGGTTTATATCTGCTTGAGGATCAACTTTCTAGGCACTTTAGGCTTCTGGTTCTATAGCCCTCCAACAGTTACATTAATGACATTGAAGACTTGGTCATCCATTAGGAAGAGTATTAAATTTTTTTTTTCCAGTTTTGGTAAAACAATGTAATAAAGATAACTTTCTTTGTGATGCTTGTGAATTTGCCAAGCATACGAGAAATTCTTATCCTAATAATAATAATAGAAGCATTGCTCTATTTATAATTGTTCATTCTAATGTGTGGGGATTATCTTATGTTGTTTCTCTTGCTGGATATCGATGATTTGTTATTTTCATTGACTGCTACATTCGAGTTACTTGGGTTTATCAGTTAAACCGCAAGGATGAAGTCTTAACTTGTTTCAAGAATTTTCATAAACCAGTAAATACTCAGTTTGATGCCGAAATTAAAGTTATCAGGACATATAATGGGGCTGAGTACTTAATGGAGACTACAAGGCATATCTCATGAAACATGGAATTCTTCACCAATCTAGTTGTGTGGATAAACCAAAGGAAAATGGTGTATCAGAGAGGAATAGTCGACATCTTTTTGAAGTGGCACGTTCCTTGATGTTTGTGATGCGTATACCTCTGTCTTGTTGGGGAGATGTAGTACTTATTGCTACATATCTCATGAATCGGATGTCTTCGAGAGTTCTTGACTTTATCACTCCTATAGGGTTGCTTCAAGGGTCAGTTTCTCATTACTCTATTCCTCCCAAAGTGTTTAGTTGTGTGTGTTTTGTACATGATTATCGAAGGACCAAGGGAAAGTTGAATCCAAGGGCGTTGCGGTGTCTTTATTGACTACTCTGCTACCCCGAAGGGATACAAGTGTTATCATCCTCAGTCTCAGAAGGTGTATGTTAGTATGAATGTCACATTTTATGAGACAAGGTCGTGCTTTTCCACTCCTCCAACATCTTTTTGGGGGGAGCAGTATATTTAGGAAGAGATGCTAGACGATGGATATGGATTCCTACTCTTACCTTCCAATCTGTGCTTGAGTCATAGAGAGTAATCTATCATGGGTAGCATCAAGGAGAAATAACTTTTCAGGGGAAGCAGACTACTTGTGGTAGATTAGACAAGGATGATTTACGGTGCTATACTCATCGCCAAACT